CTATAAGATCTTTATTATAATTTTACAGGTTTCCTTAACAAGAGATGAGATTACAAAAACCGAGCCAAGAGACGTTCGATTATAACCGTGCAGGCTGTTTATTTAAACCGCTGACAAAAAAGGACCCACCTCAGATCAGTTTTCAAGTAGAAGCAATTAATTAGGTAGTTAAATGTAAAGATTTATTACTCTATATATTCTTACACAAAGTGATCGTTCCTAAAGAAAAAATCCTCCTTCATTAAGAATGTAAAAAACAAACTTCGCTAAATGGATGAAAAATCTACAAGCATACTCACTCACAATGCGATCTGTGAATCTGCATGAGACACATACAGGGCTCTCCTTGCATGCCGCAAAGTAAAAAAAATAAGCCTGTTTTATTTTAAATTGTCACAAACTTGACGAAGTGATATGCAATATTAAAAGACGTTTATACATCATAAGTGCGAAGTAAATTAATATCCTTTTTCCTTTTTATGCGTACCTAAATAGACTTCTGACTGTACCACTTCTCGTCTTCTTACAATAAAAACAAGCCATACTCATTATGTGCGTTTTTGTTAAGCGAAAATGTAAAATTGTGCTGGTGCTTTCGAGTTCATTTCACTCGTTCACATTAATTACGAACATTCTTTAAATTAACGTTTCTACCCCTACGCCCTGGAAAAAGATGCAATTTTGAATGAGGGAAGGTGAATTAGTGATAAATTCACAAATTAAATTAAGGGCGAGGTTGTAGGTGCATTTGTTTATTTAAAGATGGTGTGCTAGATAAGAATCCTCATTTTCTTTAGATTTGTGTACTTAGAAGAACTTTGGGAGGTTTTGGTTTTTTTAATTTATAGCATATGTTAAATTCACATTTTAATAGGTTTAAATGAGTTTAACGGCAAGAGTCGATAAAGTGAAACAAGTGATTCTAATGACATCTGTCATTCTTATTTCAAACGGGACGCGGAGCTCGATATAAAACGTTCAGAACATATGACAATGCTGTTTCTATGGAAGCGACCGCGATGGCAGAAACTAAGCTTGCTATTTTTGACGTCTAATAAATTAAATTCATAATTCTCAGAAGCATTACAATGATTTATATGACTTCTGCCATAAAATAAAGTTTTGTATTATACACGACGATAAAAGGAAACTAACCATCTCCTGACAGTTAATTCACTCAATCGTTAAAATACCCCTTTATCGTCTTATACAGGGTGTTTCAGAGTACACCCGTTTTTCTCCGATATAGTAGGTACACGGAAGGAGGTTCAAATGAACCTTTGCTCAAACACTTAGAGGCGGACATAATATCTTCGAGGCTCTCGAAGTAAAACGGATCGACCTATTCGCAAGACAGCTACGGATACCGCGAGTAACATCAGGAGTCTTGACGACGAGGACATTCATTACCGAAGGCCATGATTCGTTGTTGAATGCTCTGGTAATGTCGATGAAAATCGTCGACTAATACTTGTTTACTTTGCACGGTCGACCTTCATCCGGGGATAAAGCCATATTGGCTGGGATGGACAAGTCTTTGAAGAAGAATCGTCTCGAATAGCTTTCCAATTTCGGGTAATAAAGGCACGAGTAGTTATAAGTTTTCCAACTGACAGGCCACGTTCTTAGTACGTTTGCGTTAATTTCGTCCAAACCAGGAACTTTTGGGAATTCTTGACATTTGTGCAAGGATATCTTGCCTGTGCCCAAAAGGGCCAAACTGCGCCAAAAGTTACCTCCACACTATCCACCTCCTGTAACCCAACCTTGATCCAGAGGCAGACTCCTAGAGAGAAAATGATTGATGGCTCATACCGACCCAACCGCCGACGAAGAAATTCAGACCACAGCCCCAACCAAGGGAGGTGTCAGTAAGGCTGTAGAACGGCGCAGTAGCTACAAGCAAGCTACCGACAGGCAACTCAAAGTAACGATCATAGACACCAATAACCCTCTGGAGAGGCTTACGGCTAACCCAGCAGATATGATAGAAAATCACCTGGCCAAGTAGTAGGGGAGCTAACACGAAATCCACTGAACGAGAATGATCAAAATTTTAACCGATGGTGTTCCATTTTGCCCTATCAGAGTATGCTAAAATCGATCGTCTGCCGCCTCAGGTCATACGACTTAAGGCGCTGCGGGTACTTCTTGTGGTACCAATTCTGAAAGGTTGTTTTTCGAAAAAATAAGTTATATACCAAATGAAAACGTTGATAATAGCTCTTAAAAAAATATTTAAAAAAATCCCGCGCATTTGGTAACTCCGTAAAAAAACAATTCTTAGTCGGTTTTTCACGAACTTTCTACGGATATAACTAGGTTACGGTGGGACGAATGAAGCTGATTTTTTTTACAGACTCATGATAGGTACTACTAATGACTTAACGGTGTTTCGTTTTTAAATTTTGTCTCTAATTAGGTACAAGATTATCTTATTAGCTTAACATTATAAGATATCTTATAATTAGAGAAAAAATTTAAAAAAGAAACACTCTCATAGTCATTGGCTGTACCTATCATTAGTCTGTAAAAAAATCAGCTTCATTCTTCCAACGGTAACCTAGTTATATCCGTACAAAGTTCGTGAAAAACCGACTAAGAATTGTTTTTTTACGGAGTTATCAAATGTGCGCGATTTTTTTAAATGTTTTTTTAAGAGCTATTATCAACGTTTTCATTTAGTGTATAACTTATTTTCTCGAAAAACAACCTTTCAGAATTGGTACCACAAGAAGTACCCGCAGCGCCTTAAGTCGTATGACCTGAGGCGGCAGACGATCGATTTTAGCATACTCTGATAGGGCAAAATGGAACTCCATCGGTTAAAATTTTGATCATTCTCGTTCAGTGGATTTCGTGCTAGCTCCCCTACTAAAGGTTCTGGACCAGCATTTGTTCGCCCTAAAAGGCGCTACACTAGCACCCATGTTTAGGGGTTGGAGGTACTCGGGAGGAAGTGGTTGGCAACCTCCCACAAATGTGGGAGGTTGCACGCCTAAAGGTGGTGCAGGAAGACTACCTTCCTAGACCCCGCAAGGCTGCCATCTGGGTCCCGAGGGAATCTGGCGACCTGGTGGCGATGAAGCGGCGCTTGGAGGTGCAGAATTCCCGAGCAAAGGTAGGCAGCTGGTGTCGCTTCCATACAGTCGCAGTGCAATTGAAAGACTTTGGGAACCATCCCCGAACGGTGTTTTGTGGCTGTACACTATCGTGATAAGACCTACGCTCTGCTAGGGATCAATTGTCTGGTGGCTTAGAACCAGACACAACCGCAATAAGCAGCAACTCCCTTGAGCTCGTATGGGTCTAATGGCATGCCGGAAAACTTACAGTTGCAACTGTGAACACCTTAATAACTTAAACCGTAAAGACCGTAAAGAAACACGGGTTTGGTAGAAACCCCATCGTGTAGAGGGTGCTACGTAGACAACGAGACGGCACACCACATACTTTGTGAATGCCTTGCTCTAGTCCAGTGTTTCTCAAACTTTTTTGTCTGGCGGCACACTAAAATGATTAAACAAAATTCGCGGCACCCCTAGCATTATTATTTTTTTGCTTGTTTCCAGATGAAGAGATGAAGGATGAGAGGTCTTTACAAAAAAAGTTTCTAAACCCAAAAGCATTTAAAACTAGTTGTCAGGTAAACTCCTGACTTGACTTTCCGACTACTTTTAATAGTCATTGCAATTATCTTTGGCCATAGTATAACATTTAGAAAATGCCCTCTAGCGCCTTTATTTTGAACCCGACGCAAAAAATGTAGAAGCCTTTTTTGTAGACCTCATCAAGACACATCTTTTTTGTAATTGACATTTTTCACTCTACTCCTTACTTTTAGAGAAAAATGAAATTTAGAAAAATAAAATAAATAGTTTAACTTTTCAATTCAAAACTTCTCAAAAACAAAGGAACTCACAAAAAAATTGTAATGAACTTTTTTGTAGAGTTTTTAAGCCATTTTCACCAGTGTATGCGAAAAAAATTTTAAAAAATTGTTTCAAGCCGTTATGACTTTTTTACAATTTTGACACCCCCAACAACCTTGAAGATGGTTACGGATTCCCCATACCACCCTATATGCACCCCAAATATAAGTTATAAGATTGAGAAAGTCTGATGTAATGCAATACCAGCATATGATTGATTAATGAATTATGAACTACAGAAATAAATAAAATAGAAACTAAAAAACAGAATAACAGAAAAACCAATATTCATTTTTTATAATTATTTTAATTCCTTTTTTAATTTATGTAATTTTAAGCTTATTGTAAATATTTAAAAATTTCGCGGCACCTTTGTAAAGTCCTTGCGGCACCCACTTTGAGAACCACTGCTCTAGTTCAACTGAGAGAATTTCAGGTAGCGGGAATTTGAGCATCAAGTACCGGCAAATGTTCCCATGACGACTTGCCACAAGTGCAGGAAGAGGTAAACGTGCAAATACGAGGGAAGAAAAAGAAGCAATCAAGCAATTGTGCTTAGTATTTATAATAAATATATAAAATAAAAATAAAAAAATGTTTAGAAAAATCTTAAACAATTGCAATAAATAGACAAGTGTGAATGAATCATCGCCAATGACAACTGTATGGGTAAACGCGCAAATGCAACTGCAAGTAAATTTGTGCAAGCGTAATCGTGGGTGTAACTACGCAAGCATAACTGTGCATACTAAGACTTGAAGCATAACTGTTGTGGGTAAAATTGTCGTAGCATAGTTGTGTAAGTGTAATTATAATTGCATAACTGTACGAATATAACTACTCAAGTATAACAAATGCAAATAAAGCATATCTGTGCGAAAAATTTGTGCAAGTCTAACAATCAAGCATATAATTTTCGAAGTGTAATGGTGCGTTTTCACGCTCATGCAATTTGCTCATATTGACTTGTACATGCCAATTTGTGCAAGTAAATTGGTGCACGAAAACGAAAATTATTTACTTGCGCAAGCCAGAAAATTTGGCTTGAGTAAAATCTGGATGGTCAGATAATTTTTATGTGGTTGGTGCAAATGCATGAACGTGTAAACGACACACCAATTCGACGCATGCGTAGAGGGTGAGTAATAGTAAACAGAATTGTTGTTCCGACGTGCACGTGGCTTTAATAGACTGTGTTGTACGTTATTTTGTGTTTTGTTTGTGATAATAATGTCAAAGAAAGAAAAAGAGTTCATGGTACAGTTTATTGAGCGTTATAAATCCTTGTAAGGGACCTGTAAGGGTAAATTTAATTAATTCCATTAAGAGGAATTTTAATTTATTACCAACAGGTGGTGCTAGTGTTTAATCCCCATATCAGTTACCGCACATTCTATGTACGCAGGCAGCCCTTCCAATTCCACCTCCAGGTCTAGGTGGAAATAAAAGGCGAATTCACCAGAGGAGACGGGCTGATCCTCATTCGCTTCACGATTGTACTAAGCTCCCAAACGTCACTTCTCGTTTCTATTTTTGTTTACAAGGTTCTGCAGAAATCGGTGGTTTTAATATTGGTTGGTGAAAACCGGCTCGTATTAAAACGACCTACAATTTTAAAAGGCAGGGAAATACGGCGCAAGCCAGTGTTGTACCTGGAGGGTTGAAGTAGTTCAGGCTGGTGTGAACCGGACTGGATTATCTCCGCCGCATTCCTTTGCGATTGTAGTCAGCTTGTATGTAACCTTGGAGCAAGTACAAACGATTGTGACCACCCATATGTTGTTTACTGCAACCTTATCATTTATCAATAGCACCACTTGTTTATTCCCATATGTTAAAACACCATACCATTAAACATTTAATTACAGAGAGCACTATAAACGATACATCAAGTCAAGTCCAGGGTCAACTAACAAGGCGACGGCGCGGCGCCACCATACCACAGAATAGACGCGACCACATCTATTGGGTCGCGTTCAAAGAAGACATTTTATTTTATTTATAAAAATCCAAATACTTTTGTTTATAATTATTACAAAGAATAAATCCTGTTAGCTGTGATATCTTCCTTTGGAATTCTGACAAACTGCGAACCCTGGCATTTTACTCCGTGGGCACGCGGGTACAGTTATCGGTCACTTTTGTTCCGAAGCAATTCGGGGACAAAAGGGCATTACATCCTTTCCTTGTCTTTGGAAAGTTCAATCCAAACAGTACAGCGATAGAAACGCAAAGTCTCAGGCGTATGATATTCTGATTGAAAAAATGCGCACAATTGAAGAGAGTGCAAATAGGGAAACTGTGGTAAAGAAAATAAATTCCTTGATAACGACAATTAGGAAAGAATGACAATCTGAACTGTACTGTAGACAAATTTGTGCACCAAACTTGAACCGTGAAAATGGATGCATGAGTTCACTGAATTTGCACAAATTGGTATGCACAAGTCAATTTGCGCAAATTGCATGAGCGTGAAAACGCATCTGGGCAAACATGAGATTTCGATTGTGCAGAAACAATCGCGAAGGCATAATTGTGCCAGAAGTGTGCATTTCGCAGTACTCAAATTGCGTAAGCATATTTACACAAGTATAAGTGTGTAAGCATAATCGTGCAATTATACATGAGTCAACGTAACTGGAACTGTGGCTGCGCAACGATACTGTGCAAATGTAATGGGGAAAGGATAATGGTGCAAGTTTAATTTCCGCGGTAGAATAATTGTGCGAGCATAATTGTCTAAATATAATTGCGCAAACATAACTGTACTGTACAATTATAATGAACTATGGTAAACATAACTGAGGTTTCAAGAAAAATAAAATAACTATGTCACATGGGACGGTTGCGATAGGCATCAGGAATCTAATGCAGCAATTGAGAAAAGCGAACGACTTATTTTTAAATATTGGCCGTAATGAGATTAATGTAACGAAAATACTGTTTGGTTAATACCTAAGTTTTGAGAGGTAGGTAGGTATAATACTTAATTGAGATTAGACTGTACTAACTGCAATGAAAGCCTAAACGTTTTCTCAATTTGCAAGTTCCTAAAAGCATTGACTAATACCCCAATGCTAAAAGTCAACGAATATTATTAATCAACGACACAAACCAAGCGTGGCGCTGATTCTACGTAAGGTTAGGAGATGGCGATAGTATTTCCAGTAATCGCGCACCCTTCCAGACATTTTCATTGTAGAATCATAAAATATTTTAATATCCCACTTTGGTAGCTCTTATTGTACCGTAAAAGTAACTCGTCCGTATTATACTTATCAAGTCAAATGCCGTATAAAGTACGGTATAAGTAGATGCAATGGGCAGATACGGCTCGTAAAGGGATCGAGATGATCGTTACATGCCATGTGACGAAATAAAATAAAGCCTTTTCTTATGGCTGCACTCCGCTGCACTGGATTTGAACACATAAACGTAGGCACATGCCAGAAATAAGTTGTTACGTTTAATGAGTCGGTTTACAACTTTAATTTTTCGGATCCTTCAAGTACAGACGTACACACACACAATTAAAAAGTTCCGATCTTATTTATTGCACCGCAGTTTTTTGCGCTTTCCGTCCGACCCAAAACAAGCTGAATTTTCTCGCCGTGCGCGATTGCGGTTAACTCGTTCTTTCGATTTATAGCGCAAATAAACACGTAATCGCGCTTTAAGATTCAGCGTACATAAAGTATAAAGCAATTAAATTTAAATAAAGTGTTGGCAAGTGGAATAACACATAAGTATACGTGATTCCTTTAAAATTGTCTCTTCTATAAAGAATTGCGTGGAGGAATGGCATCGGCGATGATATAAACGAAACCGTTCTGCTGTGTCGCTTCGCACAAGGGTTAAATCGCTCTCGCACAAACAGCGGACGAATAAAAAGCTCAGTACGAGGGTGGGTATCGTAGACAAATGGGTGTCGCTGCATATGTAAAACGAGGAGCCTAGTCACCCTTTGTCTGTCATTTGTCACTGTCCACGAAGGCGGGGGCGTCGTTTCCATGGGAACGTGCGTCGCCGTTCACTGGACTCGCATCTCCTCACATCAACGCGGTCTTCGGCTCACTGATTGCATGTTATCATTATCCTGCGTGGACATTAAATGTAGTTTTAACTTACGAAAGATTGCTTTCTAATCGAATATTTTTTGGGACGATACTCAGTGTTCCAGTTCGTCTCATTGTTGAAAAATGTGGGTTTATTACTTCGCATGCGATCCCAAATGGCATGCAATTTGATTTTAAACGCTCGGACGACATTTAATACCCTGTACTAGTATTAAGTATCGATACTGGATGTTGGATATTGTCGGCATCACCGAAAGCAATCGAGCACATGGCAAAAAAGGTATCAATTTTATCTTCCCAGTTATTGCTGTTCGATGTGGTGAGCGCATTTTCTGTCATTATTCAATGTTATTATGGGCAAGTAATAAAGCGGCATAACTTAATATAAGATTACATGACTTTTGTCCTTGACGAATGTAACGATTGAATTGTCATATTAATATGATATAATGTGGCCGAACTACAATCCATCCATCCATTGCTCACGTCTGTCTGTTAATTTGGGTATCTGACAGTCATCCTTCAAAATTTCACATTTCTCTTTATTGTATTGCTACCCCAAGATGCATTTGGGTATATCTTTCAGCAGCCCCTCCTACTTTTAATTAGCGTTACATTTAAATCTATTGGTGTTAGGACATTTTGAAAATTAGCAGTATTACTGGCCCTGTGCGTTCTTGCTTTAACTTTCTAATGGGATTTTAAGGAGTGCATTTATTGAGATTTTGCACTGTCAACAAGCCATCCGGAAAAGGAAAGGAGGAAGGATAGGTAAAGTTACGGATGGGAACGGAAGGAACGGAGTTAGGGTGCTGAGGAAGAAGAGTGCCGCTCTAGCATTCGCCTCGTAGATATCAGCATAATGCTTGCATTATGCGAAGCTACGTATGTCTGAGAAAAACCCCCTGACAAAACATCAGACAGATCAGTCGGCAGCGGGATTCGAACCCACAACCTCCCGAATAACATTTATGAGTCCAACCACTGCACAACGCGCCGTTAAAGTAGTGCCATTTATCGTGTCATTATTCCTTCTCCAGTCTACTAACTTTTACCAAAATCGTCATGAAACCTTCATTTTAATGCCTACTTTATCTCAGGAAATTTTAGTTTCCACGACAAAAGCAGCAACACTTTACAAGACTACTTTTCCTGACGTCTGTCACTTTACCGCGGCCTCACCTGTCACCTTTCCGACCGCACCTGTTACATTTGTAACGTATATAATGACTCCTGTCATCACTGACAGATTAACATTAATCAAAAGTCCTATATGAAAATCGAAATTTTATATTAAAATACGATTTCGGGTAAACTTTAATACAAAACTCGTCAATAAAATAACACTACCTACTTGTCTAGGAAATTAAAGTACTCGGCCCTAAAGGGGCCTCGTACTTCAATATTTCCTCGGCAGTAATGTCTCATTTTTCCTGACTTTTATGTAATTAGCTATTGTTGCACAGTCATTAGGCGCTGTTGGTCTCATTTGAGCTTGATGGAAACATGCAATATGTAAAAGATAGCATTTTCGAGCAGGGAATTTCAGTTTAGCGATAGTTCCACGATTTGCGGTGTAACGTGGCTTGCGTGTCCATCAACAATAACCCATGCTCGTATAAACTATTGCTTGAACCAGTTGAAAAATAATTTGTTGGGTCACCCAAGTTTTAGGTTTTTGGGTAAGTACTACAATCCCATTTATTCCACTTACTTTTCGCTTCTATCCTGCGGCATTCAGGTGTAGGTACTGTTGTTTTGCTTTTCGGGGCCTCCAGCGGTCCAGCGGTCAAAATATGTGGTAGTACCTAATGTTTTAATTGAATTAATAATTCTTTTTTTAATAAGTAAACGTTTAATGAAAATAATAGAACAGGAACAAATTACATATAAGAACGGGGTTTTAAAACAGAAAATTTCATCAAAATAATCACAAGAAAAAGGTAAGGTTCCTAAAATGCATTCGGCATTGCCTTTTTGGATTTCGAAACTGATTCGCTGCCTCGCTGGTAAATAAACTGGGTTGAGCGGTACTCTACTTTTAATTATAAATTGTACAGGGTGAGTCAACGATTGCGCGGAGTAACTTAATGCCTTGAAGATAAGATTTTTCGATAGAGTGCTTTTGTATTATGATATGGTTGAATATTCTCCACATTTTAAAAATATTTGAAATCATACAGGGTGTGCCCACAAAGTATTGCGCCAAAATGGTACATTTTTTTAAATAGAACCCCCTGTATTTGAATGCATTTTTGAATTGTACGTGTAATTGTACGTCTTTTTTATTATATGGTTAATATCCGAAAAACTAGTAGTTTTAAAGATAATTCGATTTGTAAGTAAAATTGGGCATTTGCAAGCGTCAGTATATTGTCAAAATTATTACCTACTTAATTTTTGATTCCAGGTTTTATATCTTTTATCGTGGGTTAAGTAAAAGTGAAATAAATACATCTACCATGAATCATTAAAAAAATAGCTTACAGGGTGTTTTTTGGTAGGTCCAAAGTTGCAAAACTTCATATTAAAAAATCTCACTTTTTTTAAATGGAATACCCTGTACATTTTTCTGTCATCTTTTAGCTCCTCCAAAAACCTTCAACTTTTGATAATAATGTCCTATAGACCTATACCTATCTCTGGTTTTAGAAATATCTTGGTTTTCCTGGTTTTTATATTCTAATCGTAAATAAGTTACCTATATGTAATTTACATAATAGTGAGGTGGTCATGCAAAAAAAAGGCAATTTTTATCTGCCTCGTCCAAAGCTAAAATCATATTTAT